ACTAGGCCATAGTCAACCACGCTGGCCAAGTGCGGGTTGGTTTACTTGACAAGTCTATCATACTTCATACTTATTTAAATATGTTACTAATATTATAAATGCGAAAGTTTAAATAGATGGATGTTTGATAGAGTTTGTAGCCTAAACGGCTGAATGGATAAATATAGAGGAAAGTCTGGAATACATAGGCTACTCACTTTTGTTTTTTTTAACACGATAGTAAATAATAAAACATTAAACAAATAAACTGCAGTTACCTTTTGATATACTGTTTTAACAATACAAAAGTAATTGTTAACATTTACAACAATAATCAGGAAATGAGATAGGAGCAGGTTTTATGAATAAAATCGGATGTCGGTTTGCTTTGATAAAAAAACAATAAGCTTCATCATTATATATAAATGCGATTTGTCATTAAATATGAGTTTTGCAAACGTTATTAAATATTTAGGTCCATGTCCTTTTTGCAAAATATCATAAAGCCAAGGACGGATCCAGCTTTGGCGCTAGGGGGCTCACATAGTCATGGTCATGTCAAGAGCTTGACAAAATATGTAAATATGTTTTGTCAAGTTCTTGACCAAGCGGCTCAGGGAGGGGTCATGACCCCCCCCCCCNCCCCACTGGATCCGCCCTTGCATGAAGTTGGGATGGATCGCTACTGTTAAATCTTACTAATGTTATAAATGCGAAAGTTTAGATGCATGTTTGTAGCCTAAACTGCTGAATGGATCTCGATGAAATTCGGCATAGATGTAGAGGATAGTCTGGAAGAATATAGGCTATTGTTTTATTATTCAGCGCGGACATAGTCGAAGACAAAAGTTAGTATGTGTAAATGTCTTCATTCTATATTTTTGTCAATAAAAGTGCAGACAAAAACATACTTTTACATTTTTTTTCAAATATAATTAATAAAATGTCAAGTGTTTGTTTTGGGACTCGAAAATAAGTAATTATTCTAACAATGGCCTACAACCCTTTTCTAATCGAATCTCTTGGGGTCAATGAACCCAACTGACTATCCCCATATGTAGAGCACTAGGGTGGATATAATTGGTTCGCACTATTGGGGATTTAACCCCTTTGCATCCCACATAAGTTGCAAAAACTTTGTTACTTAGAAAACAACGATCAAACATTTTGCAAATATTTACATTAACATTTTTTAACTTATACTTTATTATTCGTATTTTAATGTTAAAATAAGAAACTGGTCTGCCAAGACTTCGCCAAAGAAAGTGCCTACCCGTTCGAGATGAGTGTGAGTTAAGCTCAAATTGTACAATGCAGTGCAAAAGTAACACTCCATAAAAGCAGATTCAAAATGATAGGGGCGTTTACTGTTTATGTATCGTTTGTAAAGCATTGGACCACACAAGTTCTTTACATAGATGTGTTTACGGATTACCAAGGATTAATACATCCTGACAAACTGATGCACATAATTTGTATTGAGATATCTCTATAAGGCCTGCTACACACCTTGTACTTTTAACTGAACGATCGAACTGTTTAGACAAAACTGAGGGTGTGTATCGAACTTTATAGGTTGAATGGGTAGACATTGAATGTACACAAAGCAACTATTTAATAAACCAAACTAAGTATTGACAGTACATTTTTTTATGAAACTAATAATTTCATTTTAAATTAGATATACTGAAATCTTTTGAAATACTGGCCGCATATTCGCAGCCTCTAAAAATACATTTAAAAAAAACAGGAACAACCGGTTTCATCAGATCGGGCTATGGAAAGAGCAAAAAATAAAACGTCAGACTTATAATACGAGTCTCGCACGACTAAATTATCATTGCGGTACGAGATTGATGTTAAATTACAACAAAAACAAGTCATAAAATAATTTACAACTGTCTGAACAGTTATTGTAATAGAAAACACAGTAACGATCGTGTTAGATTTATATTCTTCCTGCGATCAAACATACTGATGGAACTATACACATCATCAACTTGCCCTTATCCCTTATGGAGGGTCGCACAGTATGTGCTCTTCCATACATCTCTCATATCTGAAACCACTTCTTTCTTAAGCATATCCTCTTTCACACAATTCATCCATACTTTCTTCAGTCACAATACACTTTCATCAAACTATACGTGAAAAGAAGCTACATACAATTTCATTCACAAGTTCAATCTATTCTCAGGTTAATAACAAGCATCTTCGAAGTCGCAGACGTAAAAAGAAAAGAGCAAAATACCGTCCGTGCAAACAGCCGCCAGTCGTCTGGTATTTTAATGGAATGCATTCAAGTGAAATTTCTCTCTACCGAGTAAAGCCATCATAAGCAAACTTTATCTTTGACTTTAAAGCTGTAGGACAGTGAAAGTGAATTAGACCAAAGTGGTCATAGATTAAGTAGAGATCATTTTTTTTGTGTTGACAGTATACGCTTTTGCATTTATTATGCAAAAAAATAGTCTATGTTACTTACAGATAAATTACCTTTCTAATGGTGAAAGAAATTTTAAAGTCGGCCTAGTAGTTTTTGAGTTATTTCAATACATACAAAAATACAAATCTTTCCTTTTTATAACATTAGTATAGATGTTTATATCTATAGATTAACAAACGTATTTTTTTAATTACTCATTTTTTTACTTCATTAATATTTCGATTGATCAAAATAACCATCAAACTTTTGAAATACGGACATGAAATGAAGGGATTTTTTTTAACTATTTTAAACTTTAAGCTCCCTTAATTAATCGTTTTCTATACATTTACAATGGTCTAGGAACCTAAAATTTCTCGCACATTATGACTAGTGTATCATTTAACAAGTTATTAAGCGCCATGCATACAAACACATTAATTACTACGTTAAATTCGTTGACACGGTGAGGCCAAATGTTTCCAAGATGACATCATTTGTACCATAATAGGAATTTTAAGAGCATAGCAAAAAATGCAAATATATTTATGTAAATATACATCTAACAGATAATATAAGGAACTGTGTCACAATTATATACAAAATATAACCGCTATTAAAATCGAATAGTTTCCGTTATTTTTAAACCAATAACGTAATGACCTTTATAATGCTTGGCTGTTTTGCTCCCGAATTTCATGTATTGAATCATACTTTCATCCCTCTCATTTACTGTAACAAAACAGAGATAGCGACATATCTTTTTATATGCTAAACTTCGACTAAACTATCGCACAACAGTTATGCGATTGACCATTATTTGCAGCCAATTTAACTGTTTAGTTGCACAACTAAAAATCTAAAAGTTGCGGACCTCCATAATAGCTATATAGCTAATAGCAATCTAAGCGAACGAACGAACTGTAGTGCGATATTTTAGCTTTCTAAGTCTAGTATTTCTTTCTATTCTAGTCTAAGCTTTTACTTTTCGCAAATCTACACAAAGGAGGTCCCTTAGTTACCAAATAACGACGAGAACAGCACTTAGGATAAGTTCAATTTCCGGTGACGTATCTTTAGTTCACCACCATCTCGGCAGATGGCGTGGGTTACCAGGTTATGGACTCTGACTCACATTCATTGAGTATACCTGTGAGTAATGTACGCGACATGTACAATCGGGAAATCTCGCGGTGTTACAAAATGTTTAATAGTTTTGAAGAATATGATGCTATTGTATGTCTGTACGAAAAATGTCAGTGGTGCACAAATCGCTTTTTATTATCTCTTTTTATTAGCAATTCAATGCTACATAATTGGTTATTTTGTAAGAGACGGAGTTTGTCTTGTAAAGAACAAGAATTTTTTTCTGAAAGTGGAACGCCGCGGATGTCCTCGACTGTACCACAGAAATGTGGTGAAATTTTGTACAGTTACGAAGTAAGAATTTTAATGAAATTTTGTAACATTTTGTTGGTATAATTTCTGGGATCTAAAATGTTTAGTGAACTCTGATCGAAAGCGAATTTAAAAACTCCTTTGATGATATCAGGTAAAAAATAAAAGTTTTTAAGAATCTAATTATCACACTAAAATTTAAAGATAGATGTATATCTAAGTTAAAATATGACTTATTCCTACATAGAAATATGGAATCACTATTCTAAAAACTCTTGTAATATTTGTACTCAGAAATAACTTATCAGTAGTTGTTATCAACTTCAAAGAAAAATGCCGCCTTCATCGGTGGATAAGGAAAACAATGTTATAGTACATTTACCTAGATGTACGATTTCGTGAGTGTATTGGAGAGATAAAGCTGTAGAGTGAAATCGTTTCCATGCTAAATATGATCAGTATTAACTAAGATTCGAACTGTTCAGTCAAAACTACAAGATTCGAACACACAACTGTCAATAAGAATTCTTCATACCAGAATCTCATTCTAAATAACTTACTTGATAAAACATATTAATAATGAGATCAGATATAATAAAATACGATAATAAACATTGTATTAATTACATATGGCGCCATCTTATCAAATATCGACATACCAAATGCAATAACAAAACACGAAACACATTAAATGTAAATTTTATTGCTATAGATAAAATTTAAATCTAACACAATATAGACTTCAAAACATATGTTATAAATCTACTAACATTCTAAACAAAACAAAAAAAAACAATTTTAAAACTTAAACGCGACAAAAGTTAAAAAATAAATTCGTTATTCAAATAAAAACTTAACGTTATGTATAGACTACGGATTCATAATCTAATGATTTTTAATTACATTAAGAATCAAACAAGAAATGTCTGTAAAGAATCTCAATTGATATCAACACTGTTTATCCAAATAGGATTAAGATGCGTGAAAGACACTTAAACATTTTAGTGCTCGTATACACTATAAACTATCAAAGTATAGATTAATTAAATGAACAATATCGACTAAGAGATTTAAACCGTCTATTCTCTGATATACCAATCTCGACAATATATTAAAGATAAACTATTTACCGCGACTATATGTGTCATTACAGCGGTATAAATAGCAAACAAGGCACATTAAATGTACATCGACTTACCTAAGAAGCTGAGATTGAGCTTCTCGTCGATCTCATCATCTTGGAAATATTCTAACTTTTTCGAATTCATCTTACATACTCCTTTGGAACACGAAAGGTCACAAACACTTGTCTTTCACATAAAACAAATCTTTTCCAACATCACGGTAATCACACACAATTAAACATTATATTTAACACGTTAGTACAGTAACGATGATATAACGTTTGTTTTTGTTTTAATTTGATTTTGGAACGTTAAAGATGGCGGCGCGCGCGCTGACAACCGCCACGCTGCGTTGCACCGACGCGAATGAGACGCCAATCGACCAATCGGTGACGCGGCTATGTTGCCCGCTCTGTTCAAACCTGCACTAGCCACTTGCAAACTGATTAAAAACTTTTTAACCTATACTTTTTGCTCTATTTATTGTACTTGCTCTTAAATATGGCGATTGAGAATTGTTTAGTTACAAAAGTATGTTAAATGCAAATTTAATTGTGTAATAATTTACGATTTACAAATACACTTATTGACTAACTGTGTTTGAGTAAGTCTAGGGACGTCTGATGAAAAATTGCGTGACTTTTTTCGAAATTTTGATAGAAAACTAGATATTAAACTAAATGGATCAGCTACAGCGCCGGAGGCTCAGGGGTTGGAGCACTTGACTTGTAATCAACAGGATTTTTCGAATTTCATATGTGCATAATTTACCCGACGTTCTTACCGTGACGGAAAACATCGTGATTGAACCTGCACATATTGGCGAAGAAATTCTAAATATGTGTGAAGTCAACCAACCCGCACTTGGCCAGCGTGGTTGACTATGGCCTAGTCACCCCTTACTTAGTGAAGACTCCTAGCCCCTCAGTGGGGACGTAATGCTGGTGAAGACACTAAATGGATACTAGATATAGGTAGATGTTCACGTGGACTGGTTTAAGGTAAGCTGACTTTATAAATTTCACGGTTTATTCAGATTACTCGCCTACTTAAGTTTACTTTGAAGTCAAAAGCAGCGTCTTGTACATTTTTATCGTCATAAAATATTTCACGATATCCCACAAATACATTTCATTACAAAGTAACAAATGGCATATGAACAAGAAAATCAAGTTTCGCTTAAAGCGCAGGTTCCTCAGTATTTTTATGGTTTTAAAAAGTATTGCAATTTGATTTAGTTCAATATTCTGTCTTTCAATTTACATCTTTAATTTAATTTTTTTATTATTACTATAAATGCGAAAGTTAAGATGGATGGATGGATGTTTGTTAGAGTTTGTAACCTAAACGGCTGAACAGATCTCGATGAAATTTGGCATGACTGTAGAGGATGGTTTTGAAGAACACATAGGCTACTTAAAAAAAAAGCTGCAAAAGCTAGTAAAATATAATCTTTACAGAAGTTGAAATTTATAATATCTGTTACGTAGTCGTAAAAAGATAATTGTCCAGTAGTTTTTGAGTTTATTTGTTAGAAATATACAAAAAAAAACTTTAGTTTTTTAACAATTATTTTATGAGGAGTGAATTCTACGAATATTTGCGTACACAATTTCAAAGAACACCAGTTCAAAGTCACCCAACAATGCAAAACAAATTATTATTAGTTTAGGGGTCGATCCAACCCCCGGGGTGCATTGTTCTCACACGCGTCAACCGAAGCATGGCTTCATTTGCTGCGACAATGACTGTTAATTAAAAATATTTAAAAAATATTTACGCTTCCATGTCCTTGTAAAATTATTAAGAAAAATCATACTTATACTAATATTATAAATGCGAAAGTTTAGATGGATGGATGTTTGTTAGAGTTTGTAGCCTAAACGGCTGAACGGATCTCGTTGAAATTTGGTATAGATGTAGAGGATAGTCTGGAAGAACACATAGGCTACTTGCATTTGTTTTTCTTATTACTGCGCGGACGGAATCGCGGGCGAAAGCTAGTAATAGCATATTTTTTTAAAGTTTCTATCAATTTGTAGACTTTAAGGCACGCTACAGACGACCAGTTCTTAAAGACAGTAAGAGCGTGTTTAGCGGGCTTAATATATTTAAAACTGGTAAATTACAAGACTCCTGAACTCAAATAATGGACCTCAATATATCAATAGCTGATTACATACGTTGTATGGCTACAAAGGTAAAGGAAGACCAAAGAAAGTATGGATGGATTGTGTGAAGGAAGATATGCTTAAGAAAGGAGTGGATTCAGATATGACGGCTGATAGAGATGTATGGAAGAGCAGCACATAATGTGCCGACCCTCCGAAGGGATAAGGGCAAGTGGATGATGATGATTACATACTTTAACATAATTCAATTTTAAAACAACAACGAAAGCGTATAAACAGTATAATTTAAACAAGCCTAAATTCATTACTGTAATAAAATATCAATCATTCGATTATTAATGATGTTAAAATTGATTTTTAAATTTAAATAAAACCTTAAAGCTCCAGTCAAATCAGACCGCTTCCGTCAATCGATAAAAATTAAAAAAACCGAGACGCAAATGGCGGGTTCCCACAAGATCCTGTTTTTGTGCCCCGGTCGAAACGGTCGAGTTCGTTCCCGAGGCTAATTTTGTCAGATGGTAACACCGTATAATTTTGTGTCCCATCAATCTTCAGACTTAGTTCTGGATAGAACAGGCGGAGCGTTAAGTGGAAACTGGATATGAGAGACCTAACATAAAAGATTACAAACGAGAGAGTCGATAAGAGAGCGTGGATTTGGGATTCCAGACATGAAGACGTGAGACAAACATTTCCTCTGTAATTTAGAGAACAAATTCAAGGCGTCTAAAGAACTATCGTAGTTCATACCTTCCAGGTAATTAGAAGTGTAATGTAAGCCGAGGGGTTTCACCTCTAACGAACTTATTGACTTAAAGTGCAAAGAACATTACATAAGTACACTAAATGCGGACGTGTCGGCACAAGTAATGTACTGCATTCGTCTAATGACCGAGAAAGATTAAAAGAAATGTTATTGATACTTGTATTTTATGCACTCCTGGTACTTGGATCTGATTCATGAAATCCTTAGAGCAGGCACACTTTGACTAAACTATTGCAATACTTTGTGCGATTGTCGATTGTTTCGCAGCCAATTCAACTGTTTAGTTGCACAAGAAAATTCCATCAGTGTGCGCACCTCCTTATAACGTCATAGGAATCAAAGCGTGACTGAACAGTTGTGCGATAGTTTAGTCAAAGGTGTCTGCATGCGGTCGAATACTGAAATAATAATAAGAATATACTGAATCAAATCATACTTCATACTAATATTATAAATGCGAAAGTATAGATGGATGGATGGATGGTTGTTTGAGTTTGTAGTCTAAACGGCTGAACAGTTCTGGAGGAAATTTGGCAAAGATGTAGAGGATAGTCTAGAAGAACACATAGGCTACTTACTTTTGTTTTTTTTAATACCACGCGGACAGACTCGCGGGCGAAAGCTAGTCTTAAATATTTTGCTTCGCTAGCAATGTTTATATGCCAGTTATCAATATAATTGAATTTAAAGTTCGATCGTGGTTTTATTTAAGACACTGTTAAATATTGCAATGTCGTTTCGGTGTTCAGCCGTGAGTGTCAAAATGAGCGGCAAATTGTATACTTGCGTAATAATAGTTCTTATTAAACAAGGTTTCAATAAAGTAGATTCTCTTTAACGAAATTAACAGTCACAGACAAAATAACAGACAAACCGTACACATTTAAGGTAATTTAAACGGAATTATGGTTAACCGTGACCGTAGCTAATTAACAATAATATTTACGACATTCCTGATTACAGATGGCAGCACTTGCATCTCGATTTTCATTTTACGATGTTCACTAAAATGTTTATTTATCGATTTTTAATTCCATCGACAACACTAAGTACTGAGATAATGTTAACAGCACTATAAGTTGTATAGACGTCGGTACAGAACGACATAATTGTACATATTTAAACACTAATGACAGTTTACGCGGACCACACCGAGTCCGATGTTTTCTGTTACCTCAGGGTTGGTATTAACCCACATTGGAAATGTGTTGTGAAATTGTGGTGAAACAGAAAGTGATACTGGAAACAGGAACAACTTAATTTACCTTTGAATTGAAGCAAATTCAAATATCTTTACGTAAATACAAAAATTTGCTTCACAGCAGCTTAACATTGGTGTGACTTGTATTTTTGTATGTATTGAAATAATTCAATAACTACTAGGTCGATTTTGAAAATTCTTTCACCATTAGAGAGGTAATTCATCAATAAGTTATATAGGCTTTTTTAAAATTCACGAGGACGAAGTCGCGAGCAACAGCTATAAGAGAAGGGAGTAAACGAGAAAGGGGAACACCGTTGGTCATCGACGACCTTAGCCCCAAGAAGTGATACGTTGCCCTTCTTTAAAGTTCCTCCTTCTGTAATTAATTAAAAAGTTACGTATTGTGTTTATCAGAAGATGCGTAATTTTAAAGCATTGTTAAAAATTATAGAAATTACCATAATGTGGGCTTCGTAATGGCATGACTTGAAAGATGATGTAATTACCTTAAATAACCGGCTACTGCAGAATAAAGAAAGCCGATGTTATTTGTTTAAATTTTGCAGGTTAGTATTTTATTGACTAGCTGTTGCTTGCGACTTCTGTGTCAAAATAATAATATAAAACAGCCTGTGTGACTCACTGATAGCGTAGCTTTTTAACGGTGAAGGAATTTTTGAAATCGGCGCAGTAGTTTTTGAGTTATTTTAATACGTACAAAAATACAAATCTTTCCTCTTTATATTAGTGTTGACTACGACATTTCTAAAGCAGTAAAATGATGTTATTTATATATATGGATTTATTTTTGTACATTTGAGTGTTGAAATTGAAGATACAAATTATGTCTGTTTGTTATAATTCTATGATGACCTCGTAAAGGTAATATTGTTTAGATTAAGTTTGTTATATCTTTATAATTTGGTGTAAACTCGACTATAAGTAAAGCTAAATGATTATCCTGCAAAATATACTCTTAGTATATTTTTTAAGTTTTATAATAATTCGTTTTAAGGCTTTTTCGTTGCTTATTTTTTCTCAATCTTGATAGTATTGAAGCGAACTGCATAAAACGGGCCACGATTTAGGGTTATTTTTAAATTTCCAATTTATGATGAAAGATTAAAAATTTCGCGTAACAATTTATTGTAAATAATCTTCACTCATCCATTTTTAATATTTCTAATCAAATTAAAACCAGTTCTATTTAAATAACATACTGGTACATAATAAGATTATTTTATTACTTAAAAATAATAATTAAGAATCTTTT